AAAACTACAACATCCCTCTCAATCAGCAAGCAAAGAAAATACCACTCCTCCTTAATGACAACAGCAACAGTCAGTGGTTACCATCAGAATTGGTTAGTAAAGTTAGTATTACTCCCCTTTTTTAGCCATAATATGAAAAAGGTATTTAAACTAACAAAATAACCAAACAAAAACATAATAGATAAAAGTTCAAACAAGCACGTAAAGTGCCAAAATATCCTGGGCATTAAGCGCTTACGTAACCACACAAAAAGAAACTACATTCAGATCTCATCTTCAGTAGCCTCATCATCCTCTTCAAGATCATTATCACCCTCAACATCTTCATCAGCAACTTTATTATTGGATGTAGTAACACCCTTATCAGTTTCATCCTCTTTGTCCTTCTCTGAAGACAAAGCTTGAATCAGTTGTTCAACCTTTGCTTTCCTAGTAGTGCTAGACTTGATGACAACGTCCAAATCCATGCGTGTTTCCTTTAGCTGAACAATGGTATCCTCCCTTGAGGTTGCATAAGCAGAAGTCTGATAAGATGCTATGACAATGTCTGGGACATGATCACCAGCAAACAATTTGTGATGTAAGGTCAAGGGAGACTCCCTATTCATAACACGATCAACAGCTAGAAGAATCCTAGGATGTTGTTGAAGAATCATCCGACAAATGAGTGAAGGGGAGCAAATAGGCATCTTCACAACAGAAGAGACAACCTACTTCCGAATTTGTTCAAAGATGTACGCACCAAAGTCAAATGCCTTCCTTTTACCAACAACATAGATAAATCTCCCAAGCCCAGTAGAAATGGTTTAGGTGTGACTTGTAGGAACCCAGCCACAGTGTTAATTCTATGAAGGGTGGTGTTGCGGTTAGAATATGATATCAAATTATTAATTAATTTGAATCGTATCTTTGGTTCACAACCGCTCTTTGATTTATCCGAAGGAAAAGGTCAAAAGAGGAAAACCTAATTTTGCATCGTAAAGACAATGCGGGGAGAGACCTAGGTAAGGGGTTGATTAAGCTTAGGGAAGGTATTAGCACCCTAAACTTTAGTAGTACTCTACAGGAACCTTTTGTTTATTGTATGCTTTTTTTTATATTTTATTATCTGTTTGAAATATATTGCTAAAGGGATAGAGTGACCTAAAGACCTAAGGATTAGTCCTAAGTTTACTCGGCAAGACGTCGCATCTTGTGCCTACATATCCTGACGGGAATGGAATCAGAGTAATTGTAGTTCCCCTCGAAAGGGAGGTTAGAAACGTCTTGATTGTGGTCAAGGTTTCATTGGGGAGTAAGCGTTCATAGGGAAGCGCCTACGTGGAGTCTTGAAACTCCTATTTCTACGTTGAAATTGTTAATTGAAATTCGGGTTAAATTAAATATTCCACAGCGGGAAACACTAAAACAGAGTACGACGACTCTTTGACCTAATGCTAGGGTAAAGGGTATTTTCGTCCACGGCGGGACACCTAGGCGATTAGGGTTTTGAAATGGTCAAACGTTAGGGTTATTGACTCGGCGGTCAAACGGCTAGACCTAATCCTTCGGAAGGAACATAACGCTAAATCATGCAAAACACGGCAAAATATTATATGGCAGAAATAAAGTGCGGAAAGTAAAGAAAGCGTCGCGACGATCACTCGCGTAAATTACAAATCCCCAAAAAATGCAAAATAAAATAAACCGCGAGCGACCATGGCCTCGCGTAAATTACATCCATGGAACAAATTACAAATATTATAACGAAATATTTAATTAATAATAATCGGAGACCGACTAAAACCTAGCGGAAAACAAATAGAGAACGTTAGTGAAAAAAAAGTTAGGCGGAAATCAATGACAAATAATAAAGCAATTAATAATGAAAGAAAGAAAATACAATTTGGAAATTTATTATTTTATTAATTTTGAAAAAACTTTATTTTTAATTTCTAAAAAAAGAAATTTAATCTTAATTTTGAAACAATAGTTTTTAATAAAAATGTTTTAGTTTTAATTTTTTTAAAAAGGATTCAATTTAAATTTTTTTAAAAAAAGAAGTTTTAGTTTTATTAAAAAACAGTTTTAATTTTTTTTATTATAAAAACAGAGTTTTAAAACAAGGTTTAACTAGCAAATATTTTTTAATTAAACTAACCATTTATTATGACATAATTACAATTTAAAGAAAATAATAATAATAATAATAATAATAATAATAATAATAATAATAATAATAAGAAAAATAAAATTAAAAGGGAAAAATAAAAAATATAAAAAAATAAAAGGGGAAAAGTAGGCTTCACGCTGAAGCATTTCAATGTTTAGGTTTTTAGAAACCCCATCTTCTTCTTCATCACGGTGGCGGCGTCGTTGCAGCTCCTTTGAGCTTTGCTCCATTCTTGCATGGCCGGAAACGATTTTCTCTCCTTCTTCTTCGGTTTGTTCCACCTGAAAACAACAGAAAAACTTTTTTATTGACAAAAAGAACTGCTCACCTCGTTCGGGGTTCGAAGCGGTTCGCGGTGGTTTTGCGCCGTTTGGTGGATTGGCTGACGCTTTCCTCTTCTGATAAGTCGTGAGAACGGCCGCCGTTTTTTCCTCTTGTGTGCTCTCCCCCTTTTCTCAAATGCAACTCAACTTAAATAATTAGTCAAAGTTAAAAAAACAAACTTAAAAGAATAAAATCTTTTCTAATATTTTTAATTTTATGATTTTTGGATGTTTTTATGAAAAATATGGAAAAAAGTGAAAAAATAATATTTTTTAAAAAATAATTTAAATAAAATACGAAAATAATAATTAAATAATAAAAAAAATATTTTTGTTATTTTTTTTTATGAAAATAGAAAAGTTAGAATAAAAATAAAAGAAAGACAAAAAGTGAAGAAGGTGAGATTCGAGATACACACGGTCTCTTACCAATTGTGTCATTTTATTCATTCAAAATAAAGTGACACTAGAAACTATGTAAAGGTAGGACAAATTTGGGGTGCAACAGGTGGCATACTTCACACTCAGCTTTCCAGGAGGTGTATCACCAGTCGAGATGTAGTTTTCAATGAAGTAGAGATGGCTTTCAAGTTAGAAATTAATAAATATTAACACAATATATTATCTCTCGATTGGTATATATAACCGAGGTTAATACAAATAAAACAATAAAAATAAGTAATAAAAGATTAACACAAGAAAAAAGAAAAACTGAAAAGACGTCAAGTGAAAAATACTAAGTAAATCATAAAAAATAAAAATAATGTAATACTTGAGATTATATATATATATATATATATATATATATATATATATATATATATATATATATATATATATATATATATATATATATATATATATATATATATATATATATATATATATATATATATATATATATATATATATATATATATATATATATATATATATATATATATATATATATATATATATATATATATATATATATATATATATATATATATATATATCACCTCGGTTTTTAAATAAAACCGAGAGAATGGTTAACGGATCAAAATCAAAATGGCATTTTTATGATATATTTTTTCGATTTTTGAATATTCAAGGTGAAAATTTTATCATAAAATATCTTAGTGATAATAATGATTATTGATATCAAAGATATGAGAATATTTTGAACAATGCTAACTTTTTGTTGGCACTGGTCATGCAAAGTAATCATGTAGATACATATTCTTCAATCTTCATGTTGAAATTTTCAAAGTCTTCCCGAAGTTCTTGTAATTGTCATATCTTCACCTTGGTGGAGCCATGATATTTTTGGTTTATGGAGTCCTAAATATGTATGGTTGTGTCATGAAGAATAATGGTTTCTAAATTTATCTATCAATTGATTGAAACAAAATGTTCTTAACCTTCAAATGTTCAATTTTCTAGGTGCAATTATCACTCCCGCCTTGATGAGAGTCCAATACTCCTTAAGTTTTCTATCAAAATGGACCACTGAGCAAAGCAGTTTTTTGAATCCGCCATGGTTGAAGGAAAAGCAAGTTTGAAATAACTAAACTGCAGTTTGAGTAATTTCACAAATCAGGACCTAATTACGGGCCTCAGATGCCAATTGTTTGGTGAATGCTTTATGTTTATGATTCATTAACAAACCTAATTATAGGCTGCATATTACAAGCAACTAACACCATAGAAGAAAACTATCAAACTAACTCACTACTAAATTGATTTTGGCTCTAAATATCTTACTTGCTGGGCAACAAATCTGTCTTTAACCAAACAAAGTGCTTTTGGTTTTCTTTTGGGCCTAATTATGTCTTAATTTTCACAAACACTATAATTAAGTAACATACATTTTGTTGATTCTATATATACTTAAGATAACCATTTTATACGTTTATACAATGAAAATGAAAAGTTGGCTGGGTTTGCAGAGGCAATGCAACACTAACTTCATTGGACGATAAGATTCTAAGCTCGGTTTTCTAAAAAAGACATTTCAGTTTCACTGTTACTGAACTGTACAGTGTCCAGTTCAGAGAGAACAGTGATTCTAAACAATGGCATTGGACCATTAGATTTTCTTCAAACTAACTAAATCCAATCCTTCACCAGTACTGTACATATCTACCTGTATTCGTGTATATATATGAATATCAACGTCTCTGTTGTGGGATTCAGCAAATATATATAAAATAATAACAACAAATATAGTGTTTCATTCCATGCACACTTTGCTTAACCATAGTAGGTTTATAACTTTATATATATAAATTATACTAGATTAAAACTGATAGAGAAAAAAGCAAACTAAGAATATAGAATTATCCCATATTCTCACTCCATTTTATGTAAAATAGAGTGAAATGGAAGCAAACAAAAATGGAAGAAAAAAACATCATGTGACGATAACATATAACCATCACAATCAAGAACATCTTCTACATCATTATCATTAGTCTTGACCGTTCTAGCTTCTTTTGTAAATCTACTACTACTATTATATCATTATTATAATCATTATTATTTCATCTGGTAAAGTCATGAACGAAGCTTGTTCTATCAGTGACGTTGAGTCTCCAAGAGAGAAAAGGAATGCCATTCTCAGAATCACGATCAGAGTCATCCATGAAGCGAAATTCGTTACTAATTGCCTGAGAGTAGCACTGTGTCTTCTGGTTCTGCGGTTGGACAAACCATGAGCTGTGATTGTGGTGGTGGTGGTTATACATTGGAGCTGTTTCCATTACACCGACTGATACCGCTGTCGGTGTAGCAGCAGCAGCACTTGCTCTTCTCTCTTCCTTCTTGAATCTAATCCCACAGGCATTGCACAGTGACTGCATTTCAATTCAAATAGAAGCCATTAAAAACTTGAAATCAATATTATAGAAAGTAATCAAAACTATTCTCCTTAATCCTTAGCACACTGGTTGAACTATTTTGTCATTTTCTGTAATATCTTAGAAGATATATTCCATTATATATATCTATACAACCCTAAAGATAGTAAGCAGAAGAAAAAAATCATACAAAATGATTAAATGACTCAAATATCTATGGCTTATACTACATAGATTTACCTTTGGGCCACGAGGGCCATTTCTCCAAAGGGGTGTAGAGGTAGTGTCACAGTTAGCGCATCTGCGAGCAAGGAGAGAATCATTATTGTTGATGTTGTGATTGATATTGCTTCCTCGCGTAGGTTTCGTTTGAGTACTGTTGTACTGTTTGGGAGTTAGTAAATCCCAACAGAAGTTTTTAACAGAGCGACGCTCATGTCGGTTTCGTTTCTCTTCATCTTCAGTGAAACGAGTGGAAGGAGTTCCAAGTGAGAGAGTACAATCAACAGAAGAAGAAGTAGAAGACGGAGTGAAGCAATAGGTTTCAAGAGATTCTTCGTAAGGTTTAGAGAATAACATTGAGAAAGAATTGTTTTGTGCTTGTCCATGAAACATACCGCATGTACAGTGTCCCATGACGTGTGGTTGAGAACAAGTGTTATGATGCATTATGAGAGAGAGGGTGAAGAAGATGAATGGAAGAGTGAAGAGTGAATGAGAAATGGTAGTGGTGATAATAAAAGGATGGAGGAGAGAGAAAGAGTTGTCTGGTAGTGAATGAAGTTGTAATAAAATGGCGAAATAGGAGTCAGCAGGTGCAGGGAAGGTTGTCGTGAAATGCAAAAGGAGACATGTACTTACAAATACAAATGAAGATATAGAGAGAAGAAGGGACCCAATGGAAAAAGCAATGGTAGTGATATGAGAGAGAGAAAAGAAATGAAGGGTAAGAGACTTAGAGTAGTAGTAGTAGTACTGTTTATGACTTCATGTATGTAATGTGTGTATGTATAGGAGTTGTAGCAGAGAGAGAGAGAAGAAATGGTCTATGATGATGATGAGTTGGTCAAAAGAGGGCACGTGACTAGAGGGGAACAGTATTGAATGGATCTATCTTCTCCGATCACGAGGCTTTTATTAGTGTCTCAAAAACCTCTGTCCGTATCCGTATTTCTGCCTCTGCATCACTCTGTCACTGCCACACTCCCAAGGAAAATGGAATAGTTTTCCCTCCTTTCCCCTCTACCTTCTTCTCACGCTCCTCTATCTCACCTTCACACCCACGCTCTAATCCCAAAATATTGTTTACATGCTCTAATACTCCTAATCTCGCCAATCCAATATATTCTTTATATTCTCTTCTCTTACTAACATCTTTTTAATACTACTTCTTTTAGTCTTATATATACTAGTATATTAAAAGAGATTATAGATTACAACAACCACTAAACTAAATTTTTAGTAAATAAAATCGCTACATGGATATAATATTGAATGAAATCAATTTCTTTCATCCAATTCATTAATTTTAAAATTACTTAGTCTAATTTTTCAATATTTTTTCTATATTTTTATCTATTTTTAATAATTTATTCTTCTTACTCTAAAATTTACATGTTTTACTCCATATATTCGGTCTTATTTCTTTTTAGATAGAATACATACATTTTTATGACTCATCATGAACCTCTTATTTAAATTTAACTTTTCTCTTCAAGGAAGATTACATCATTTACCATAAAAATTATTCATTTCGGTGCTAGCTCTTTAATATATTATGTAAATACATTCAAAACTAAAGTACAAAGATAAGAGTTTAGAGTTGAATCATGGTAAAATCCTAATGTTATGGAAAAATCATGGATGTCTCCACCTTGCTTTCTCGCACTAGTCAAGACCTTTTGCATCATATCTTAGATATCTCGACTATAGGCAATCATAATCTATTTCTTGTTTGGAAACCTTCACAAGATGTCTCTAAATATTATATCATATAACTTTTCTAAATCAATGAAAACTAAGTGTAGATATTTTTTCCTTATCTGATACCGCTTCATCACTCGTCATAGTAAATAGACCATTTACATGTCAACCTACCAAGTATGAAACCAAATTGGTTACCAGTAACTTGAGTATCTTTTATTAGTCTTCGTTCAACCATTTTTTCCATTACTTCATAGTATGACTCATAAGTTTAATCCCTTATAATTTACATTGTTTGTTTATCCCTTTTGTTCTTAAAGGTCTGAATTTGAGTGTTTCTTCTCTGTTCCTCCCGAATCTTCTTTGATTTTATAATTGTGTTAAAAGATTGTGTGAGTCACTTAATACCTTTACCTTCAATGTTTTTCCACATTTCTATAGGTATATGTGTGGCTTAATTGTCTTGCTATTACTTTTCTTTTTCACACTTATTTTACCTCATATCATCACTAAATATCATGTAAATACTTCTACTATCTATCTTTTATATCCTTTTTCTATACTAGAATTTTGTCCTCTTCGTCTTTAACATAAATATTTCCTATGTTAGTTTTTCTATGCATAGTCGATCCCAAGCCTAACTAAAAGGAGAAGGTTATGTTAGGTAGTCGATAGCCAATTTAAAACTTTTTCAAATCTCTATGACATGAATCAATTGCGAAATAATGTGAATGCAACTTTTTCCTCATAAGCACGCGTTATATGGTTTGAGTACAAAATCAAACGAGCAAGGATCGTTGCATCGCCGCCTGGATGCATTGAAAAATAAACAAGGGCACCCACATTTTCGTGAATGGGTGTGGGAATATAGGCATGCTTACTGTAAAAACTATGGAAATAGTAAATATTATGCTTAGGAAGAAGATCAATTTCATGTGCCTACAAGAAACTTTATGGACAGTTGAAAAAGTAAAAGAATTAGACAACTCAAAATTTAAGATTTGCTACATTGAAAAAGTTAGATTGAAAAATGAGGTGGGGTTTATTCTGGACGTGGAATGGAAAAAGATATTATGGATGTGAAAAGACTGGGAGATCAAATCATAATCTTGAAATTTGTAATGGAACAAGACATCTTTAATGTTATTAGTGCTTGCGTACCTCAGGTTGGGTTAGCTGAACATCTCAAGATAAAATTTTGGTAGGATTTAAAAGGCTTACTGCCAGATATATCCCAAAGAGAAAAAAAAATTCTACGAGGGAATCTAAATGGGCATGTAGAGAGCGTAGCAAGAGGTTTTAAGAGTGTGCATAAGGGTATGGTCTATGGGGGTGAATGTAGATGGTAAATTCATCTTAGAGTTTTCTTTGACTTTGGATCTTACTATAGAAAATACATGATTCAATAAAAGAGTTGTACATCTTATCACATATAAAAGTGGGGTGGCATGTTCTCAAATAGATTTATTTCTTGTTAGGAAGTCAGACAGCAATAATTGCCTGGATTGTAAAGTTATTATGGGAGAGATTGACTGCCCAACATGGATTATTGGTTATGAATGTAAGAATCAAGGGGAGAGAAAAGAGAAGAAGCCACATTGGAGTGCCACATATCAAGTGGTGTCATTTCTAGAGTGAAAAAAAGGAATTTTCCAGCACAAGATCTTGGAGTGAGAGTTTTGACAACCACAAAGAAGTACAAATGATATGTGGAATAATATGACCCAAGAGATTAGAAAATTGGCTAAAGAGATATTGAGTGAATCAAGAGATTTTGGACATAAGGGCGAAGAATCATGGTGGTGGAATAAAAGTGTTCAAAGTTAAGTTAGAGTAAAAAATGATTGCTTTACATAATGGTCTAGGTATAAAAATATTGAAACTTGAGAAAAATACTAAAAAAGCTAAGAATAAGACTAAGAATGCAGTGAGTGAAGCAACAACTAGAGTTTTTGACAGATTATACCAATATTTAGGAACCAAGGAGGGAGAAAAATCTATAAATAGTGTGTAAAGAAGAGATTTTCATTGACCTTGGGTAAGGTTTGGATGAAGACAAATACATCAACAAAAGAAGAAAAATATAAAGTCAGCATTGATCAACAATGAACAATAAAGATGACGACAATAATTGGTCATGAAAATATGGCAAAGATCAAAATTTAACAAAGTTAAGGTTGTATTTATCTTTGATATATTATTATTCATCTTAAATGTCATTTAAAATCTCAAAAAAAAAATATCACTCAAACTTAAGCTAAAATGATTTCAAAGTAAACGCATAAAAACCATGGAAGCCTTGCCTTAAAAAGTTATTTTCAATGTTGAAAGCAAACGTGTAATCGAGTATACCATTACTGTAATCGTTTACATGTGGCCAATTTTCGAAAAATTTAAACATATTTTAATTGTTGTAATCGAATACATGTGTATTGAACTCGAGTACAACTTAAACCAGTGTGATTTTTCACGAACCAGCATCACTATTTTTAATGGCAAAGCTTCTTGGAACCTTTTCTAACTTATGCAGTCTTTGATAAAGGTTTTTAGAAGTGTATATAAAGTATCATACACTACAAAATGACTTACCAACTTTCAAAATCAGATTTATAAGAATCAACTATTATTTTCAAAGTGTTCTTCATTTTTCATATAGTCCGAAACTATGTGAACTTTCATAAACAAAAAAATGTTTCATAAACAAAAATAGATTATGAGTAATTAAATGATATACTTGAATTGTGAGGATCATCTTAGTATTTGGTGATTATTGAAAAGGTTTTTTGAGTCGAGGATATTTAGACTCCACCGTTGGGTTTGGTGTTGGTTTTATTTATGTATTATAAGGTTGTAAAAAGGTCTTGGTGAAGACTTGTACAAGGATCTAAAACATAGTGGATAATCCTTTAAGGAGTAGAAGAAAAAGATGTTCTCTTGGTTGATAAGGGGGGCTAGTATAAATCTTTTGTGTTCTTTACTGTATGGCCTTAAAATTATGCATTTTAAAGTAACATTCTAATCAATACTTCTAATAAAATAACAAGTTGAATAAAGTTGCACAAAATCAAGAAAAATCAATTAATCTTAATTCACCCCCCCCCCCCCCCCCCCCCTCCTCCCCACCCACATAGGTAGCATCTCGTATTGCACTTGGAACCAGAGCAAGAGTATGGTAACTTTCTCCTATATCTAGGTAAAAATGGCTTCTGCAAAACTTTTCTTAAGACAGGGCTCTAGCATTAACAGACCACCACGTTTCACTGGCGAGTGTTATGAATTTTTGAATATTAGAATGCAAATGTTCTTAGAATCTCAAGGGGAAGTTTGAAAATTCGTGAAAAATGGTCCCTTCATTTTGAGTATAGTTTTTGGGGGTGTAAATCAACCAAAATCTGAATATGCATGGGATGAAGAGGATAACAAAAAATTTATATATGGTAGAAATGCTAAAATCATTATAGCATCCTCCTTAAGGATGAACGAATTCTTAAGGGTGACAAATTATCAAACCGTTAAAGAAACATGGGAGACTTTGAAGATTACACATGAAGGAACGGAAGAAGTAAAACTATCAAGACTAAACACTCTCTCTTAAGAAAATGAGAAGTTTATGATGCTACTAGGAGAAAAGATTCTAGATTTTCAAAAGAGATTCACTCATTTGACTAACCATTTAACCGTTCTTGGAAAAATCTTCTCCAACAATTAATTAAATTTAAAGGTCATTATATAGTTCACAAAGGCAT